GTCATAGTTGCACATCCTTCTAGTTGCTGTATGTGGGACGTGGCCTCAGCATGGCTGGAGAAGCAGTGCGTTGGTGCGCGCCCGGGATCCGAACCCTGGCCGCCAGTAGCGGAGTGCGTGCGCTTAACCGCTAAGCCACGGGGCCGGCCCCACAAATAATGTTTTTAAACATGTTTTAAAAATACATGACAGTACAACACAGAGAGTGAACCTTCATTTAAACTATGGACTTTAGTTAAGTATAATGTATGAATATTGGCTCATCAATTGAACAAATGTACCAACTGAACAAATCTATCAGTTAAACAAATGCAAGATGCTAGTAGTAGGGGAAACTGTGAGTGGAGGAGAGGAATATATGGGAAATTTCTGCTCAATTATCCTAAACTACTCTAACAAGTAAAGTAAAAAAGATATGAAGCTCAGGTATTATTTTATCATCATCTCATGTCTATGATATGTTTGTCAGGTGAAATATATTCACCACTGTTTATTATAGTTGTTTAAACCATTTCTTGAACCATAATGATTTAAGTGTATGTTTCTGATTTTTAAACTTTTGTTATGTTTGAAGTAACTGTTTCTTTATCTCACAGGTGGATGCTTTCCATGATCATTGCCGTGGTGATGGGCTGTCAGACTCCTATTCTAGAGTTTCATTTGGCTGTATTACTTCTCCAGTGGAAGGTGCTAACTACATTGATCATACAAGTTACTTCTCTCTAGATGTTGTTTGTAAAGGTACAATTTACATTTTTTAAAATTTAAAATTAGGTTTTATGTATGTTTTAACTTCATAGATTGAATTTGGAGGTGGTTACCGGGATCATTTCCAGGGTCAGATTTGGATCCTGCTTATTTGGTGAGAGGATTTTAGTACTAGAACTACTTCTCCAGAGTCTTTGACTCCAGTCGGAGGCTCTTTAATACTTAAGGTGGATCTTTGGAGTTTAAAATAACGCATAGCAAGGGACAGATACATAATGTTTTTAAAAACTCATGCTATCATTTGTGGCATTTTCATTTATTGGTGCAGTTACTAGTATTTGTGTAATTTTTCCATTCATATAGGCATTGAATCTAACTGAAAAATATTACAAGTGTACAGGGATACTATTTTTTTTTTTTTGTGAGGAAGATCAGCCCTGAGCTAACATCGTGCTAATCCTCCTCTTTTTGCTGAGGAAGACCGGCTCTGAGCTAACATCTATTGCCAGTCCTCCTCCTTTTTTTTCCCCTAAAGCCCCAGTAGATAGTTGTATGTCATAGTTGCACATCCTTCTAGTTGCTGTATGTGGGCGCGGCCTCAGCATGGCTGGAGAAGCGGTGCATCGGTGCGCGCTGGGATCCGAACCCAGCCGCCAATAGTGGAGCGCGCGCACTTAACCGCTAAGCCACGGGGCCGGCCCAGGGATACTATTTTTTAAAATACTTCCATGCTTTAAAATAAGGTTTAGAGATAGCCTTGTACCTTTCTGTTGGTTCATAAACTGGCCCCCGTACCCCAAGGGCAAGGAGAGACCGAAGAAAGAGGCAGACCACTCCAGATTGGTAGGCAGCGGTTTCAATAAGCGAGGGAACTTACATACTAGGCTTGTCTTGGGAGGCTGCAAGACGAGTAGATCTTCACGCTCACCCACCAGAATCTGAAAAGTTTATATACAGTCCAGACGGTTTCAACAATACCTTACTCTCTCAAGGCTGCATCCTTGAAACAGCTCTGGCTATGGGAAGGGTGGGTGGAACGTACATTCCAAGGACAGGGGAGGGAGTGAGGACCCTTCAACTGCCCAGGTCCAGCTCTTGGGTCAACCAGTGGTCATATCCTCTTGATGACCTCCTCCAACACTTTTTTTTCCTTTAAAAAGCTTTATTTTGATAAGAGAGGAATTAATGAAAAGCTCATTAAAGAGGTGCTCATGTCTGAATTGCTACATTAACTTCGTTCAAAACCACAAGTCAGCAGAGTGCTGAGACAATCGCAGTAAATCAGGTATTTCCAACTCAAGTCTCTAACTTGCTTTGTAGCCTTGCAGGGAGATTAGAGTTACAGGCAGTATAGTAGTAGAAAGGTAAACCTCTTGTCCCACTCCTATCCCATGAGAATTTTTATCTCTGCCGGAGAAGTTCACCTGCAGAGCTAATTTAAGCCCATTCAACAATTAGTGACAATTGTGCATCAGTCTAAGGGTTGTGTCAATGTCCCACTGGATCGAGGCCCACTTCCACTACCATGTCCAGTCTGGTTTTATGTTAAATAAACATCTTTTAAAAATTACTGTTAACAGCTTTCACTGCTCATAAACTTAAGATTACTCTGTTAACATTTTATGACCCAGAGAGGTAGGTTATCATAGGCAGAATACATGAAAGACAATGAACTGTAGCTTAGGGTTTTTTTTGCCAACAAACTTAAAGTATAATATAAACAGCAGAGATCATCATGATAGGCACTTTTGAAATTATAATGAATTGCAGGAATGATAATCACACTAGGCTTGGAATACAGAACTTGGCCGACGTGGGACTGATAAACAACGCCTCCAACACTTTTCAAGTGTGTGTGTGTGTGTGTATCCATTGTTGAATTCTATTTGTAATTATCAGGTGTAACATTTTGTTGTCTTATGCCTAAAGCAATAATTAGTTAATTTGTTTATGGTATTTGAGTTTAATTCAGCTCAAGATACAGTGATAAATATTGGCAAGACCAAGGTAAATAAGACTTTATTAAACTCTGCCTGCAAAGAGCTCATAGTCTAATTGAGAGAGACAGACGTGAATACATTAAAAGAACGTGATAAATACAACATTACTGAGCAGAGGAGAGAGAATGATTGACTGTTATGGGGAGAATTGAGGAAAATTTCCTGGGTGAGGTGCTCTCTGAACTGGACTCCATACTCCTGCAACCCTTTGCCAGGCTGGATTTTAAAAGATGAGCAGAAGTAAAAACTTCGTACCTGTTTAAGCCTAATCAGCTGCCATTTACCTTGGATACAAAAGGGGATGTTAGTTCAGCCACCAGGCAGCTTTCCATTTGACTTGTTTTGGATGTAAAAGCCAGGACTTGACTTTAGTTGTTAATTCTGGAAGTCCCCAAAGATGATTGTCTTGTGGCAGCTATGATTTTAAGACCTGTTTAGTCAGAAATACCCAATTTTAGGAGAAAAGGCCCCTGTGATTGCTTAGCTCCAAAGGCAATTTCTTGGTCCCTGTAACCATGCCAACAGGAAGTCACCATCAATGGTAGCGCTCGCTAGGAGAATTCTTTTCAAGATGGAAACACTTGAACATGTCTGTAATGCCAAAGGGATTGATTGAAGGTGCAGAAGAGATCAGGAAGGACTGATGGAACAAGGTGGAGGGATTTACTGCTACAAAATAAACTTAGTGAATCAGAGTAATAGACCTCTCTAGGATGAAAGAGAAAGTAGATTAAAAAGAAGATCTGGAGCCAGCCCTGATGGCCTAGTGGTTAAAGTTTGGTGCGCCCTGATTCAGCAGCCCAGGTTTGTTTCCCGGGTGTGGAAACACACCAGTCATCTATCAATAGCCATGCTCTGGCGGCAGCTCACATAGAAGAACTAGAAAGACTTACAACTAGAATATACAGTTCTGTACTGGGGCACTTAATAAAAGAAGATCTGAGCACCTAATCAGTCATACTTAGAATTGGCATAATAGCTGCTGCTAATCTGATTATGAAACCCAATGAAAATGTCACACGCACACACACAAAATTCCAATTTAAAACATAAGGGGAACCTGAAAGAAGGAAAACTTGTGTTAAATTTTTTGACCCACATAAAGGAGAGTCAGTATATGTTCTTTTCTTGTTGATGATCATTCAAGGGATATTTGAGTGCCTCACTCTGTTCCAGGTACTATTTTCATATTTGCATTCTAATAAGGTAAACCTCAGACAATCAGCAAGTAAGCCAAAAAACAAACAAACAAACAAACAAAAAGAGAGTAACAGATTGTTTTTCTCTCTCCAGGATTTGAACAAGATACTGTGATAGCAAAACTGGGAGTAGGGTGGGTTGGAGTTTACTGTAGATAGCAGATTAGGGAAGGCCTCTCTGAGGAGGTGACACTTGAGCTGAGACCTGGAGGATAAGAAGGAGCCAGCTGGGGAAAATATTCCAATAGGGAAGAGTCATTATAAAAGTCCTGAAGTGGAAAAACTTTGGCGTCTCCTAGGAACTGAAGGGAGGACAAGATAGCTGGAATGTGGTGAGTATGTGTGGTATGACTTGAATGAGGGATGGTATGAAACAAGATTATAAATGCCAGTAAGATCCAGATGGTGTAGAATCTAGTACTGTGTTAAGTACATAATTTATACTATCAGATTTAATCCTATCAGGAACCTTCTGAGGTAACCTTGGTGTGGTCAGTTCCAATAGGCTGGTATAAGTGAAAAAAACAATTGTAAGTAGGTTGAGGAATGAGTGGGAGGCGAATGTATGCAAACCGAGTGTGACAAGAGTGCGTGAGAGGGACGATTGAGTGTGTGTTCTTCTCTGCACAACATGAATGTGTTTATATGTCAGCGGGAGGTCGTCTAATTGGTGCTTTAGGGCCCAAGATCCCATCTGCCTTTACCTGTCTTACAGGATGGTAGTGATCAGCTCTGTTTTACAGACAGGATTTGAGGGTTTAGGTCCATGAGTGCTACTCATGGGAAATGGTTAACATCAGTAATGAGTCTCAGATTGGTTTTTTTATGTGAGTAAGCAATAAATCTTAACCATTTAGGTGAAGGATGCTAAAATGGAATTGGGCATTCAACCTAAGGGTGGAGATGAGGTGGTCTACCAAGTGCACAAGCTGCTATTTCTTTCCCCTTTATTTTTCAGGTTATGCACTAATGCAGTCCTATAACATCCTACATGTCCTTACGTAACCAGTGAGACCTGGATTAGAAGCCTAGGGTCACAAATAAGGTTATTTCTTAATTTTTCAGAATATACTGGCTTGAGTACCCACTTAAAAGATTAAAAAGAAGTTCCATGTAGCCTTCTTATCTTTTTTTGAACTTTCCCTTACGCCTTGAATTGCCCAGTAGTCCAGCGTCTTACTCAGTCCAGAGGTAGCTTCCCTGTTTCAATATGCCTCTGTAGTGACCAAACAAGTCACTAAAGGACCCTGTTCTTTATCTGCTGACATTTTTATGATTGTATTTAGCCAATGGGAGGCACAAGCAGGAGACTGGAGTAGGCAGGGAGATGTTGGCCTATTTATTCCCCTAGCTACCTCATTGCCAGGCTGCACATTGGCAATGACTTTATACTTCTACCAAAGGCCATGGGCTTCTGTAGGGCAACCCGCTCCTACAGCAATAGCTGTGCGGGGTAACCATACCCTCAAGTGTCCAATCTGAGTCATTTTTGAGACTAAATGGGTGTGTTACAATTGGTTAAAATTAAATTGGCCTTTGAAGTATTTATATATGACTAACAGATTGGGTTTATGTTTCTATCTTTAAAATAGTATTATTCATAAATTTTTCAAACATAAAATTATTTCTAAAAAAAGAACGTGTCTGTGTACATTTAATGGAAACTGTGAATGTTTCATCAAATTGCAGTCTAGTGGCAAATTTGTAGGTTTTCTTAATTTCCTTCCATTCTGTTTTAGAATATAAATGTCTCCAGTACAAAATAAGAGCTATATTCAAAGATTCTTGCCACATGCTAAAATCTTCCCAAGTACGATCATCTGACTTCAAATTT